ATTGCACCACGATGCGTTATCACTTTCTACCACTTGTTAACAGTCAGCTTTATTCCATTTTGAAAGAAGTTTAACGCAAAAGAACAAATAACTACTCACCAAGTGCCATCTTGTCAAAAATTTTGTCGATAACAAAACATTAGGGGCACAGACTTTCTGAGTTGTGCAATAGTTAAGTCTCACTTGTCTCGGTATTTACCTTATAACCCGTTAATCAGCGCAACTGTTCCTGTTATTCCATACGACAGAATATCAAAGGTTGTGCGTGAGCAGCATGACAAGAAGAAAATCAAAAGTAAAATTGAAGAGCACTGCGAACACTCAAGGGGGAAAGGTGGTTTGAGCAAGCAAGAGCAAATTGCCCTTTTTTTCTCGAGTCCACCTCCATCCAAGGTTGCAGCCAAATCGTACGAGCTGAGAACCAAATAATTCGCTTTATGTGGGCCACGTATCTGTGTTTCACCACCCTCTTCCTCCACATTTCCATTATGAAGTTGGTGTATGAGTATATGGAGCATGCGGTGAATATTCAAACCTACAACGATATGGATCCGCCAATAACCTTTCCCACCGTTACATTTTGCAACCATCAGCCATTCTCAGCACGTGCCTACGAGCTGTGGGGCAACAAATCTCTCATCTCCCCCACCCACTTTAACCAACTCATTCGTCAGCGAGCAGCCAAGCTGCTGGCTCAATCGGTGGAGATTCCGAAGATTGACAATGAGAGTGTACGTCTCCTTGATCGTGATCATCTGTTGGAGTTTCTAAGACAGGCAATTGTCTACGATACCCTTCCTCTCTACTACCAAAGCCTTCCATGGCCGTCGCATCTGCAGCTTGGACATAGCTCAAAGCATCTGATTGCTCTCTGGCTATTACGGTACAGCAGCAAGTGGGTTGAGAGCACTCAGCACTGCGAGTTAGACGACAATCAAATCCAAAATTCTTTAACTGCTTCAGTGTGGAAATCGTGAAGGAGTATTCTCAGCACATTAAAGAATTGGGTCTGGTGTTATGGTTGGGTCCCGACGAAAACTACGGTAAGAAGGATCGCCAGGCTTTCCTATTTGGTCTATTCAACCAGGCCTACGGACTGCGTGTGTCAATCCACGAACCTGGTCAGATGGCTAATTTGAATTGGCATAGTTTTCAGGTCGCACCGGGTTGAATGAATGAGCTATCCTTCCAAACCGTGCAGAGCGTATGCTACAATAGACCAACCAAGTCATGTCTTCATGAGCCGAAAGAGACTTTTACAGATCTGGAGGAGGACTTCTTCCACGAATGCTTTTCTGTCTAAACAGCCACCCACAGCATCAGATAGTTGACAAATGTGGTTGTCTTCTTGCCTACTCTCCGAGGATTTACTTGCCTAATGAGAGCCTG